TTGTTTTGAGTTGAGTCTTGGTTCACCTATCTACTAGGCTTTGAATTTCATGGGTAAATGTTTTGTTTTAAGTGCATACAAGCATGATTCCGCCTTTAATTGTTAATTGCATGCTATTGATGTTGCTTAAATGAACATGTTTTTCACAAATCTTCCTTCAGCATGCACAGCCAAAAACCTTTAAATGATCTAGCCTAGGTGGAGAGTAATACAAAGCTTCAAAAAGAGACTGCATCTTCAAGGTAGGGGTAAGCATCCTATTGATAAGATAGGTGGCAGTTGCACAAGCATGGTACCAAAATTTTGATGGCAAAGAGGCTTGTTGAAGTAAGGTTATGGCTGTTTCCACAACATGTCTATTTTTTTGTTCAGCTAACCCATTTTGCTCAAGGGTATAAGGGAATTATTTCTGATATAAAATGCCTTTGTCCTTAGAAAAGTTTGAAAAATGTTGCTTATATACTCTCCACCACCATCACTTTGCAAAATTTTAACTTGTGCAGCAAAAGAATTAGAAATAAAGGCTTGAAACTGAACAAAGATACCAAACACAGCAGCTTTATTAATGATTGGAAAAATCCAAGTATATCTAGTACATTCATCTATAAAGGACACATAGTACGTATAGCCCTCTATTGACAAACAAGGAGCAGGGCCCCATACATCTGTATGTGTAACCTTAAAGGGAATGATAGACTTTGGTGCATATGTAGGAAATGGAAGTTTGGTAAACTTTCCATGTAAACAGGAATTACAAATCTGATAAGGAGAATTACAACTGAAATCAATGGAAGATTTATCAAGAGCTGCTTTGACTACTAGATTGGTAGGATGATCTAAATGACAATGCCATAGGGTAGAAGAAACCTTTTTACCAAGATATGCTACTGGAAAGGCTTTTGGATGCTTAATCACAAGAAGTGGATAGACAACATTATTACTCAGTCCTTGGAACAGTGTTCTCTCGGTGACCTTGTCCTGTATACATATAGAGAACTCATCAATAATACATCTGCAATTATTATCTTTACACAATTGATGCATAGAGAATAAGTGCTGTGACAATCGAGGTACATGAAGTACAGAATTTAATCGAAAATTATGAGTTTTAGTGGAAAGTTAAGAGTTGCCAATATGAGCAATGTTCAAACCTTCACCACCAGCACCAATCACAGTTTCTGTGGAAGGATAAGGAGCTACCATTTGAAGATTAGACAAATCTGATGTCATGTGATTTGTTGCTCCAAAGTCAACAAGCCAATATTCTTGCTAAAGTGCAGATAGAGTGGCAGTACTACGAACATTCATGGCAATTGGTGTGTAGGACTGAGAAGGCTTAGCAGGTGTAGAATATGTATTGGAGTTCATCATAGGACCTGATGGATATGACATGAAAGGCATGCTTGAGTTCTGACCATTCTGATACACATAAGAATGAGGAACCTGAAATTGTTGAGGATACTGTTGATAACTCTGAGAGAATGGTTGATAGTTCTGTGAAGGGAAGTAGGCTTGACTTTGAGAGGAATAATTGTTTCTATCAAAACAAGTGGTAGCAGTGTGGCCCACTCTATGACAGATTTGGCAGTCTTGTTGAAAACAATTTATTGCTGAATGACCTTTCCTATCACAGATTTGACAAATTTGTAGTGATTGGTTTCCCTGATTTCCCTACAATTGTTGCCCTGGTTGTTGAAGCATAGCTTGATTCTGTTGTGAATAGGAATTATTACCAAAAGCAGGTTGCGAGGAGTATTGATTTCCACTAGGAAAGAACTTTTTGCCTTTACCCTTTGGTTTGTAATTGTTCCCCTTGAAATTGTTACAAGTGCCTGAACCAGTTTGAGACACAAAAGCAAAGTGTCCAGGAAATGGTAATTGTAAGAAGGTAAGGGTAATTGTTGAAACTGGGAAGCGGACTGAAAATGAGCCATCATTGGACCTGTTTGATCTCCAGAAAAACCACCAAGATTCTGTCTAGAATTAAATGTTTTTGTACCAGATGAATCACCAGCTTCATAAACATATCCAGAAGTATGAACAATCATAGTAGACATGACAGGGACTGACTTATGAACTTCCTCCAATGTGGCTACCTTAGCCCTTAACTATGACATTGGTTCTTTTAAAGACACCAAATCTTCATGTCCACGAATGACAGCCTTAATTGTATTAAACTCAGGAGAGAGACCCCTTAAAGCAACAATTGCAATATCCTCATCATAAATAAGTACTCCAACAATAGCTACTTGATCTCTAGCATCCTTAATTCGTTAAAGATAGCCATCAATTGATTCAGAACCTTTCTTAATGTTTTGAAGGTCAATCTTCATTTGTACAATACTAGTTCTAGTAACATTGGCAAACCTTTCACGAAGATTAGTCTACATTTCCTAGAACTTTTGCAACCAATCACACATGACAAAGCAACAGTGGACAGAGTAGCAGTGTTGAGAGTCATCAAAGCTTTATCATGAATCTTCCACACTTTATAAGCATCAGACAAAGTAAGTGGATCATCAATAGATTCATGTTTCGAATCAGAGTCATCAAATCTTACTGGAAAAGAAATTGAACCATCAAGAAAACCTAGAATTCCATTTTCACCCAATAGTAATTCCATTTGGAAATTCCAAGTCACATAGTTAGAATCATCAATTTTCACAATGACAGTGTTTCCTACACTGGGAATTAGAGAAGAAATCGGTGACTGAGTGAGAGCCAACTGATTAGGAGTAACCATTTTCAAACAATCGAACACAAATCTGGAAGAATCTTGATAAGAATTTACAAAATGATCTCCAAATATGAAGATTCTAGACGATAGATGAACAAGAAACAACAATTTCTGCAGAATCAAATAAGGAGAGATATCACCTTAGTATCGCGAGCAGCCAGAACAACAAACACAACAACTAGCTGCAAAAATCCCCAAATTTCTAGGGTTTCGCCACAGATCGACGAGCTTCAAGTCTTCGAGAACCGGAAAATCAAAGCTTCAAGACAACCACGACCAAGTTGAATCAGCAACAACGACAACAACTATGAGAGAACGGATGAATGAGTAGAAGCAAAGGATCATTAACCGACGGTGTTAACCTTAATCGGCGAGGATACCATATCAACGCAGCTAAGAAATCTTAGAGAGAGAAAGACTACGCAAAAATAGAGAGAGAAAGTAGTAACCGACTTATCAATTTCTTTTTCATTGAATGAATACATGTTTTTCTACAATATAAATACCTCACATTATAACTAACACATGACATCAAGACCTCAATAACCGACACATGGCACTCTTTTACAATTAACACTTGTCACAATCTAATCAACCTTATACTCTAACAATTCATATGTAATTGGCACATTTGCTATCAATGAAATTATCAAATTCTACAATTTCTACAATAAGCTCAGTCAACAAATTTAGAACTTTTGCTCAATCTCTAGATGTGGAAACTTTCTATCTCACTCCACAAACATTACATTTTTTTTAATTATTAAAAGTTGTCTTTGTCAATTTTTTCCTAAAAAAATGGTTTCCTCTATATATAGAAAATAATAAAATACTAAGATTTGTAGAGTTTGCTGGAGTGTAATATTGAAGTAGCAAATTATAGTCTTCAAATTGTCACATAGGTCAAAAAAACTTGTATGTGAAGAGTCGTGTTCATAAAAATCAGTTGCACATGCACCCTTCATGTGAGATATGATGTGGTGCGGTCAAATACGGTTGCGAGAGTCCTCTGCTGTGACTGACTTTCTCTACATTGTGAGATAATCTAGTCGTCATCTGTTTCCGCATGTTATACATGGGCTAGATGATAGACAACAAAGTTTAAGAGGTTTACCCTAAAAAATAGGCTACGTCATCTGCAATGATCTGCTATGGGTTACAAAGGTGCTCTACAATAGTGTAATGTTCCTTTGTTTGTGTGTCTGACCACTTATAAGAGGTACTCGTCCTTCTTATATAGGCTTTTCATGATCCCTAAAAGTCATGTGCTTTCAAGTACTTCGCCACTTAGCATTAAATGAACTAAACGTGTAGACATGACTTACTGGCTACTCCTCCATTATTCAATTAACACCTAAAGATGAAATAACATTCGTTTAGGGCTAATGGCAAGGTTTCCTGGGCCAACACTTACTAAGCACTTCGCTCGACCCTAAATGACCGAGAAAACATTTTCCCAAATGCTAGTTCTAACAAACTTTATGTCATGTCATAGATCCCTTCTCTTTTTTTTTTTTTTATAATCAACACACGGCTTGAAGTTGATGTATGGGTAGGCCTATCTCGGTGGCTTCGTGTCATAAAGTTGTTAGTTTTGCCAACTTGCTTGAGTGGGTCAAAAAGTATGATCTGATTAAGCACTCGTCTTCTTTGTCGATGGTCAATCCAAACCAATAAGTGGTCATTTAGAGCGATCGTCATTCTGATCTTGTGATAGTGTTCAATCGTCTATTTTCATTGTGCTGGCTCATAGGCCTCACCTATAATATTTGAAAGCGTATCAATTTTGTGTTTACAAAATAATATTATCGATACTTTCTAATTGAGATGTACCTCATTATTGTACGTATGACCAACTTCTTTAGAGTATGTGACATCAGTATAGTCCCTGTAGCATAATTTGGATAGTCTTGCATAATTCGAATAATTTGACAAATCATTTCAACATGTCATATCGTGGTCAGATACACGATAATAAACATAACTTTACAACTAAACAAAATTTAACAAGAAAATAGTGATTTCTGCCCACCTTTTTCTTTCTCTGTAAAACCCATATATAGCCCATAACTGTACAACGACCCATATCCAAATCAAGCGCCGAGAGCCCATCTCAAAACTTCCAACGCAATCTAACTTGCTCAAAACGCAACAATTTCAAACACAAAACGCTTACCGCTCGATTGATCCTCTGCTTCTTAAAGCTTCCAACGTAAGCTTCTTCTTCTCCAAAACCGCTCAAATAAATACAAACCAACACACTCACACTGTCTCTGTCACTCAAAATCTCACTTCCCACTTCTTCTCCCACTGAGTGAGAACAACCGACTCCGTTCCACCGACTCACTGAGTCGCTCACTCGGAATCGAAAGCTCTCGGCTTTCCCGCCAAATTCCTGCGCTGCATTCCCACCGACGCTTACTCAGACGAGGTCAGTGATCTTTCTTGTTTCTGTTGTTTTTACAATTCGTGGAATTGAATCGGTGCTCTGTTTGGTTGGTGAGAAAATGCGGGAAAATTACGAGAAATGTTGTAAATTTCATACCCACTGTTAGTACTGAATTTCTGGAAATTGTGAAATCAATTTGGTGCTTTCGATTTTCCTTCAGTTATTTGGTTTTCTCAGGAACCAAACAGAATGTTGAATTGTATCGGATAATCAAAATTCCCACTTTACCTGATTTAGTGCTTGCTTTCTGCTTGCACTATGTTGAGTTTTCTCAGGAAAATTGATTTTTCCGAGAGATTATGACGAAAATCAATAGGGAGCATCCAGAGGATGCCGGTATCGGTTCACACGAGAAAATGGGCTTCCTTTTTCAAGCATTATATGAAGCTGAATACTGTTCAGATTCCCCCTTTCCGAAGCCAAGCTCAATTCACTGGTATATGGTTTCACATTTCATTTCAATCAACGTTTTTATTTGAAGGGGGAATGTGTATGATAGATAGTACATGATTCATCATATTGGAAAATGCGGGAAAATTAGGGTCCATTACTTGGCTACACATTATCGCAATTGAGTTCATTTTTTCTCCGGTACTCAAATTTTTCGGTCTGTGGTTTGACATTGCTCAATTTGTTGTATTAGGAGAACCACTGGTCCAACAAGACGGTCAGCAAAAAGCTGGACAGCGGAAGAGGTCAGTGATAGATATCTTAGTTTGCTAATTGATAGTAATTGTATGGTGGTTTAGTCTCAGTGCAGGTTTTCTTTATGTATCTTCTGCTAGAATTCGCAGCTTCTCAAAAGCTTATCTCTTTATTAATCAGTTGAACTTTGGTTGACAGGATAATCTTCTTGGAGAGTTAGTCACAAAGTTCAACAGGAGCAGTTGGAAGAAAATAGGTGGGCATGCCAATTTCTCCTGTTTGCTTTCGAAAATCAGCTTTTAGTTTCGTGCGAGTTGATAACAAATGTGGTCACTAGTATAACTTTATGTCTGCACATGAATGTTTTGAGAGCTTAGGCATGGGATTCGTACTGATATAGGCTTCGGAGCATTGGTGGTGATGGATTCTAGACTTGTTTTGTGTACCTTGCATTGTTAGAATTTAAACATCACTTTCCATTTGATGGTTAATTATAGAGGCAGGTTCTTCGTTTGTTTATGAAGATTATTTTCTTATTTCTGCAGCTGCATGTCTCCCCGGGCGCACAGATATTCAGTGCCTGCAACGCTGGAAAAAGGTTTTAAATCCAGAAGTCGTCAAGGGAGCCTGGACAAAGGAGGTGCAAAAAGTTATTCTTGCATGTTTTTTTATCAATGCAGAACAATGTTTTACTGCAGGGTAAACTGATATGTGACTGGTCCTTTCCCTTTTCTTATTTTTCTTTTTCTTTGGATTTCAGGAAGATGAATGCATTATCAAGCAAGTCGAAAAGCATGGTGCCAAAAGATGGTCTGTTATAGCTAAGTTCCTACCAGGTCGAATAGGCAAACAATGCCGAGAAAGGTACATGACCATGATTTTTACTCGGTGTGTCAAACTTTTGGCATCAAATGGTTGACATCCTCTGTCTTCTGTAATTGTAAAATAAATAAAAAATTGTACTTTAACCATTCAGCTTTGCACTTACTAGTTTACAGAATAATGAAGATAATAACTATTTTCAGGTGGCACAATCACTTATGCCCGGCAATTAATAGGGATGCATGGACAAAAGACGAGGAGCAGATTATTGCTTACTACCATCAGTTGTACGGTAACAAGTGGGCAGAAATAGCAAGATTTCTACCCGGGAGGTATGCATTTGATAGTTGATAGAATTGAAGTTTTGTTTTGGATTTCTTATATATATTTAGTTAAACAATGGCTGGTTTGGAACATGAATATATCTGTGGTTTTTCGCCTGTCAGTTATGGTGTATGATGTAAATGGGGGAAAGTCTGGATTGCTCATCTTTTTGATAGCGATTATTATACGACAAACTAGATTTGCGTCTTCTACTTCATTAATTGTTCAAATTCAGATTTCTGAAATGCATGTGTACCTTTTTGCTGCTGAAACAAAGCTCGGGAAAATACGCTATACAATGTTTATATGGTTCCTTCTGTTGAATGCATCTCATATCCATTGAAATTGGCAGGACCGACAATGCAATTAAAAATTTCTGGAATTGCACGTTGAAGAGGAAATTCGATTCATACTCACCTAATGGCTGTGAAGTGGATATGCAATCTGATGTCTTAAGTGGTGAGGCAAGAACAGATCGTCTCGAGGTTGAAGAAGATGGACAGATTTCTGACTGTGTGGTCTCACTCAATCAGCTAACGGAAACGGAGATTAGTGACAATGCTTGCTCTACTGAGTTGACTCTTGGATTTTCTCACAGTCATGACATTTGTTCAGAATGGAAATCTGTCAAAGTGCAGAAGCGCAGGTCTACGGAGGGACGAGCAAGCAGTTTAATAAATCCACAAATTGCCACTCCATTTGCTTTCATGGACGCATCCACTTGTACCAAATCGAACTGCATTCCTCCTACTAGGCCACCTTGCTATTCGACTCCCCAAAGCCTTGCGCAGAACACCTCTGTTAGCAGTGGCAGTCCGGGGTCTAGACTGAAGAACTTAGCATTGAGTTTCAAAAACACTCCTTCCATCATAAGAAAGAAAAGCTCCAGAAGGACTGATCCTAGTAACTTCCCTGATGTCAACAGCTCAAAGGCATGCTCCACGTTGAGTAGTACTAGTGGCGGAGAAGGTACCAACAGCAAAGACTTTGCAAACGGGAAGTTTGGTTCATTTTCTTTCCGTCATAGGCCTCAAACTTCAGCGGCTGTTAAATCTCTAGGACGGCGCCTAGAACGCGAATTCGATGCAGAAAAGGATTCGGGTAGTGATCAATGTGGCCATGCACTCTCTGCATATGCGTCTCCAGATGTCGGTTTTGGTGCATAACCTGTTTTTTATTCTACTCGTATGTAAAGGGAATTGGTCAAAGTGTAGTCATTGCAGACCTTTTAACAGGTTATCTGCAATTTCCATTGCCCAAAATGAAGGAATCAAATCCTTTTCTTTCACCTATCTTGGATCTTGATAATTCTCATCACATTGAAGCTGTAGCGTTTTTGCAAATTAATAGGCTCTTGCAAATCTTTTATTAGACCACAAGGTGGAGTCTGGGAGGATTCTCTCTCCTTCAAATTTCATTAGACCATGATTAAACCACACCAAAAATGAAAATTAATGAATCCAACTCACTGTGGTCCTAATAATGAAAAAACTCCGACTTATAACGTTTGAACTGTTGCAGTCCTATTAGATTAGGAAAATGATTGTGTAAATCCTAGTAGATATGGGAATGTATTTTATATTCCTATTAGGAGTAGATTACCTATTAAATGTTGTAATCCTAAAGGGTAAGGAATTAACCTTCCTTACTAGTATAATTAAAGGCATAATGGGGTAGAATAAAACACACCCACAATTACACATCTCTCTCTTTCTCTCTATCTATACCGCACCCCTCTCTCTGGCCTCCTTAATTGTTCAGTAAATTATGCCTACAACACGTTATCAGCACGCTCTTGACGTTGCGCTAAAGAGAGTTTATTCTTCAATCAGTGGAGATTGGTGATTCAATTTAATTTTTCTTTGTTGAACATGATACAACGTATTGGTGATGCAATTCTAGTTTTCTGAGAAGGATCTTCTACAAATTCAAAGGTTTTTGTTGTTTTCTGCCAATCAGGTACGCTTAAAATAAAGGAAGATATTTGAAACGACCTTGAAGCATGAAAACATTCCCCTTGATGCATGAACCCCTTACATTTATATTTACCTTCTGATATATATGTATTGTATATGTTCATATATTTTGTCAACATATATATTTGTTTCATGCATTATGCAATTTTTGCTATGTGGAATTTGTGAGTCAAAGCATCGAAATAAATTAGAAGCAATTAAGGTTTTTCAAACCCTAGATGTCGAAAAGAAAACAAAACTTGGGTCACTAATGCATGAGCTTCATGCCCACTGACCTGCAGTCAGGTTGGGCTACTTTGCAGCCATGTTCCCTTCAGCCCAACATGCATCAAGCCTGCAGCTTAACCCGTACAAGACTGAGCTATCTTTTCTTAATAGCCCACTTAGGCTTCTATTTGGCTTGGCCCGCATTGCAGTAGCAAGTCTGCTGCTTGTAATATTTTTTTTTTCTTTTCTTGGCCCGTCTTTGTTGCATGCATGCAGCCTGCTTGCAAATTGGGTTGCTCCTTGCAGCCATGACCCGTGCCCCCCTTTCGACCCAAGGCCAGCAGCTGTTGCTGCTGGGCTCCCTTGCCTACTGCCCGTCGCCTGAAGCCACCCCATGCATACTACAACCGAACCTACACGGCACCCAGCCCAAAATTTTAGGCTATAGTATTTTCGACCCAACACTATTATTTAGCATTTTAAATAATTTTAACCCAAGTGTTATTATTATATTTGCTTCTACAATCGACCCTGTATGGCCCGATTGATTGAATTAATTAAAAGTGACCAACAGTCCATTAATCTTATAATGAATCCAAAATTATTGGCCTGAAGCCCACTTTTGGACATTAAGGATTCAATATTTTATTTCTTTTCTTTGAACCGTTGACATCCTTTCGTAGTACCGAAGCGCTCACACTTGAGTTCCCGAAGAACCTCAAATCCACTACACTTAAATCAACATATTGCATTCTGTGTTTCTTGCATGAACCTCTCTTTTATGAACTAAACGTTCATAAACTAAATTGAACCTGTAGTTTCAAATTTAGTGCCTTTGAAACCCGGAGTTTTCTTAAAACAATACACCCATGAAAACCCGACATTTTTCATGAAAATCATGTCTTAGAACTCGAATGTTCTAACTTTAATGCTTATGGATGATTCCTTCCCATGGCACCAATCACAATCTTGTTCCTCCAAATTCAATGGATTGTCGAACCGTCACAAGTTCGATTTCTCCTATTTTTTGGATGTTTCTAATAGAAACCACTTTATGTGGGGTACAAAACGTGAATCTCCACTTGACTATTAAAGTAGCTGAGAAACCATTGAAGCCAACAATGGCATGGAAGAGCTGAATAAGTCTCCGCCATGATCTTCATTCAAAGACTTATACCTAAAGCATTACAAATGGAAATACCTCCTGAACAAGGATTCCATGGCTCTTTGGCTCACTCCTACGAACCGTTTAATCATGAAAGACATTGCCTGAAACACACCATGATTACGTCCATGAATGAGTACAATTCTAAAGTTTATAAATCCGATCGAATTTTGACTAGAGAATACTTTTCTCGTCATTCCATGTTTCTAACTCACTCCTGAAGCAACAAGTGTAGATAGTGGAAGTTTACCAGATTCTCGGATCTGATTACTACCATAAACACGAGAGAAAGGTATGGATCCAATTTGGCTGGAGTCTACCAAATAGCTCAACCCAGTTCAGTCAAAGCCTACCGAATGGTGATACACTGCTTCGGCAGGGATACACCCAATGGCATATTCTCTCACAATCCAATTTCGAGTTTGCTTTTACAACATATGGTAGAATTAGGGCCTGCCAAGGTGTGGCATCATGCCCGAAGCATGATCCTTGGTACCTAAGACCTAAAACTTCAAGAATAAGGGATAGGATTCCCAAACCTCAACCCTGCAAAATCTACTTCCGTCTTGATGGAATAAATCATTGGTTATGCACCTGTTCATGCCTCTACCAATGTTGTTGAGGAGTACCATTCTAGTAGTCAATATGTGAGAATAATTTTGCTCCACCAAACATCATTGGAAAAGCATAATTTTGACATGGATAGCTTTGTTGGATGAATCCCCTTAGTAAATCATTTACTTTATGAACATTTTCTCATGTTCTTGGATTCAAGTTTGGTGTATATTTTACTTATGGATAATCTTATTGATATTGTGTTCGAATATGAGTTAATTGAATCATGTTTCTTAATACATGTGACCAACTCAATTAAACACATGATTATGTTGGAATGTGGGAAAGTTAGTTGTCTGGATGAATGCGTACTACGCACACTAACTTTACACCTAAATCACATCTCTAACAACGACTTCAAGTCTATCCAACCTAATTAAGAGCATAGGCACACTCCGTGTTGTATGAATGGTACTAAATTACCATTTAAGGGACCTTAAATTCTCCCTGACGTTGAGTTTTTAAGGATATTCGAGATGACAATGATCATAATGAAACCATTGAAGAAAATAGAGTGAAATATCTTTGCATTACCTCTAAGAATGAGCCTGAAGCTTTGATTTGGGGCCAATGGGTTGTCTCCCAACTGGGAATACACGACATGTGGCCAGCCTGGAGCCCGGTGATTAAGCAGTTTACTTGTTTTTGCACGACCTTTTTGGACACTTAGGTCGAACAATGATACTACAACGCATTTCCTTCTCTGAAGGATATTGTGCTTACAAGTACACTTTGCCAAGCATGCTCATTAGGGAAATTGATTTTCTATATCATTCCTCGCAAAGATACGACACGACTCTCTTTTCACAGTGGATTCAAGGGAATATATGTGGACTAATCCAACCAAAATGCGGACCATATAAATACTTATGGTTCTGGTTGATGAATCGACAAACTGGTCATATATTTGTCCACACATTGCTGCTAAACCTCATGGCCGATTAAGGGCTCACCACCTTACTTATCCCTTAAAGTCCGGGAGATTGGATAATGCCGGAGAGTTTATATCGAAGGTTTTCGATAAAGTATTGCATGTCGTTTTGGGTTTCTAATTGAACATCGAATTCCTATGTTCACCCCAAATAGCCTCGCCTAGTGATCATAAAGCGCAATTTAAATGATCGCTCGAATTTTGGTGAACATACCAAGTTTTCGGTTTCTGCCTAGGGCTATGCAATCCTTGTACACAGTTATGTTGGTCTACCTTGAGACTCATTGCCACCCAACCTATATGACGTTAAGTTGGTTACTGGGTACGAACCTGACAATTTTCATATTTACGCATGTGGGTGTGCATTCCATGTGCCAAGTTGCGCCGCCGCAACGTACCACCATGGGTCCTCAAAGAAGGATGTGTATCTGTTGTCGATCATGATTCTCCTTCACACTAGCTCTCTTAGAGCCCTTGCATGCGATCTCTTTATCGCTTATTTGCGGGTTGTCACTTTAATAAGACAATTTTCTCGTTGTTAGGGGGAGATAAGAACGTCAACGTTCCTATAGAACGGCACGAAGTTGCATGGACGTTACCCATTATGTCTCATCTCAATCCTCATACCGCACAAGTGTGATAAGCAAGTGCGATGAATTCTAGTTTTCAGAACGTTGCTCCAAACGCATTTTTCTAATCTAGCTAAAGTAACGAGATCATATACTAGCTGCAAACATGCCTGCAAGGATAGACGTACTTAACGGATGTCGAGTCAACATCCCTGGAGGGTGTGCCGCCCTTGTTGGACAGTTTGGACGCCCCTGTTGGACAGTCCGGTACACTGGCAGATAGCCAATCAATCTGTCTTGGTCTGGAGCACGACATATCACTCGGTTCATAAGATTCACTTCCCTAGAAGAGGAAGGCAGGGCACAAAATGAATCTAAACTCGATCGCTGTCTCAAATCATTTTTATCTCATGAGATTAATCCGGATTTCTCCCAAGACCTAAAGTTCTTGGTCTAGTATACTAGTTTGGATGAGCTAAATGGAATTGAAATGAGATTATCATCGATGATGTTTTCACTTATATGGTAGCTACCGAAATAAATGAAAAATGACGATATCGAACCGTGTTTCGTTGATTAAGTGACAACATAGAACTGATTGGACAACTAAAGTTACAATCCAGGTCAAATTCCTTACCAAAGTGTGTATTGGACATGTCGTTCCTACACTGTCCAAGGTAACCCTGTTGTGTTACAAGTGGGAAAGGAAGCGTTATGAGATGAATGAAATAGTGCGATATGATGCACCTCTTACGGCGTAAGGTTTCTTTCAAACATCCTGTGATTAATAGCAGCATTATGAAATATGGTTAGTGTTTTCTCAATGGGGATATAGATATGGAGATTTACATGTAAGTTCTCGAAGAACTACATGGACAGTTTCAAATAGTTCCAAAACCACAGGAACACCATCTTAACTTGTTTTGAGGCGTTCATTTATGGATTGAAAAATCCGACAGATATGGTATACCCATCTACGTGATTATTTGATCAGTCAGGGATGAATTATGCCTTTGCGTGTTAAACTATGAAGTCTTATTCCAAATTGCTAGAGTTACAGTTTATGTCGTTAACACAAATCTCACTAAGACTCCGAAAGAGCTTGAGAAAACTACCTCGCACCTGAAGATGGAATTTGAGATGAAAGATCTTAGGAAACTTGTTTATGCCTTGACCTGAAGTTGAAGCATTGTTCTGACAGTATTTTGGTCTACCAGTCGAACTACACCCCGAATGTGTTACCTTTGAGTATACCCTTGATCGTCCATACGTTATATGCAAATGAGACTCTTGAAGAGGTTATGAAATCCAAAATTCCATATATGAGTTCAACTTTGCGCTTCGTTGTACTTAGCTCATTGTATTTAGACAGGACATCTCATTCGTTGTTGATCTCGGTAAAGATGCAGCACCGCGCCTACACGCAACCACTGAATTGGTATTAAAGACGTACCCTGAAGGTATCACGAGGGCAAATCCCAATGCATCTAGAGCGGATCCAACCCCCTGATCCTCGGAATAATGTTTGCCTTCTTTGTTATGTTGACGCTGGTTACTTATCAAACCCACACAAGGTAAAATCCCCGAATGGTTATGTCTTTACCATTAGGGATATCGCAATATCTTGGAGGTCCATGATATGACCTTAGTTGCGAAATCTTTGAATCGTTCCAAGACTCACCTTACTTCACTATGCCACAACTGAGACATAGTTAGGAGTTATTGTTGAGTATATTTGAAGTACTTGCTGTGTTTTCATCCATCGTTGAGTCCCAACGACAATCCATGAAGACCATGCCACATGTATCAACCCAACCAAGCCATGATACATCAACAAAGTCAACGCCAAGACATATTGCGTCTACATCTACATCAGCAAAGCATCAGGAGATTGAAGTCATGCAAGCCGATCCCAGACAACCTTGCCGACCTCTACACGACGTCACTGCTGAAGTCAACCTTCCAGAAGCTTGTCTGAGGAATTAGTATGCCTAACTATCATATGCAATGCTTGTAGTTCTCATTTGGAAGTTATGTCAAACTCAGGGGGAGTATCCAGAAGTATATTCACTTGATCTTCATGTACTCTTTTTCCCTACGATTAGGAGCATTTTTCCCACTGGGTTTTTGCTACCTAACTAGGTTTTAACGAGGCACCCATCCTGGGCTGATCATACCCTTGAAAGATATTTCTATTTACGTCCAAAAGACGTGTAGTTTTGACTTAATGCAAACTTACGTCCAAAATACGTGTAGTTTTGACTTAATGCAACTTCTCGCTTTTCTCCTTAGATTATGGGTTTTTCCCTACCTTGGGTTTTACCATAGCGAGGTTTTGTAAGTTTTACTTTTTATGCATTCTTCCGTTGATTTGAGACTCGCATTCGCCCATTGTGCCGACGACTTCATCAACTGTACTTACTTCATCACTGAAGACCTGATGCGCCATTTACTTGAGTATTTACACACTCAAGGAGGAGTGTTGCAATCCTATTAGATTAGGAAAGTGATTGTGTAAATCCTAGTAGATATGGGAATGTATCTTATATTCCTATTAGTAGTAGATTACCTATTAAATGTTGTAATCCTAAAGGGTAAGCAATTAACTTTCCTTACTACTATAAATAAAGGCATAATGGGGTGGAATAACACACACCCACAATTACACATCTCTCTCTTTTTGGCCTCCTTAATTGTTCAGTAAATTATGCCTACAACATGAACCATGATATGAAATGGATTCAATAAAACAAGCAAAACATAAATAGAATTTCTAAAAGGGAATTATTATTGGCACTTCAAAAATCTCATTCTACACTGTAAACTTTCTATATTTGGAAAGAAAAATACACTTGTGAGGAGTGTATAATGAAATTTTAGGGGTGTCAGTAACACTTCTCTTTCTAAAATAGTAAAACTAAAACAAGGAGCGCAATATGTGACTCGCCCAAGACCATATTTCAAGATGTGCAATATCTCGTTGGACAACTACTATGTTGTCATCCCCACCCATTACTTATCTTTTGAGCATTAACGAGGGATTAATTGAGATCAATTAATAAAACTTAGACATACATAATTAATAGATATTTAATTTTTTTTGTATAGTATATATATCAAGGTTCTAAAAAACATTAGGTGCCTAGGCGGTTAGGCGGTTAGGCGGCGCCTAGGCAGGTGCCTAGGCGGATTTAGGTAAATTTCTTGTATATCTTGTAAATAAATGCATATTAACACTTACCAAAAATTATACTTGTATGAAATCCATAGATAAGATAATAAAAGAATGATAAAATGCAAAAAGAGTATCCAACAAGTCCAAAATTTAAAAACACATTAAGCATATATGTCATATAACCATAGTGAGGAGTATTGTAAGATGACACATGTACAAGAAGTTCACAATTTAAAACAACATAAAATGGAAAATAGGAGGAAAATAAGGAAATTTAGTAATGTAAGGTACTTATCTTTAGCTCCCAGAATTTAAGTTGATGCACAACACACCTATTATATAAAATTAACAAAATTTCAAGGTATAATTAGAACTTAGACTTCAAACAAATTTCACAAAAAAAAAAAAAAAAAAAAAAAAAAAAAAAAAACCACCCAGCCGCTAGCACCACCTAGGCTGCCTAGAGCCACCATGATTTTTCCAGCCATTTTGCACAAAATCACCTCGGTTCCAAGGTGCCTAGCGCCTAAGTGGCCGCCTAGGGCATTTTTTAACACTGATATATACATATATATATGGAAAATAAATTGGGGTTACAAAATATTTATTGTGATAATAAATTGCTCTTAGTTTAGTTTTAATTATTTAGAATTATCCTCATTCAATTCAAAAATATTTAATCATTTAACTTTTTTTTTATATATAGTGTATATATATATATATTAATTTTTATATAGTATATATATATATATATATAAGTAGACACACATAATTAAATAGATGTTTAATTTTTTTTATATAGTGTGTGTATATATATATATATATATGCAAGATAAATTGGGGTTACAAAATATTTATTGTGATAATAAATCGCTCTTAATTCAACTTTAATTATTTAGAATTATCCTCATCCAATTCGAAAATATTTAGTCATTTAGGATTATCACCAGCCAATTCGATAAGATTAAATATTATTTAATTATTTAGAATTATCCTCATTCAATTTGAAAATATTTAGTCATTTAGGATTATCGCCAGCCAATTCGGAAAGATTAAATATTATTTAATTATTTAGAATTATCCTCATCCAATTCGAAAGTATTTAATCATTTAGGATTATCATCATCCAATTCGAAAAGATTAAGATACGGGTTTCGAATTCGACAAGTCAAGCACGTCAATTATTTTATTCGTTACAATCTCTACCAAAAATATCGCTTTCAAAACAAAAAATAAAACAAAAATAGAAAATAAAAAATAAAAACCTCAACAAAAAAAAAAAAATTACAGCACTGCACGTAAAATAGGGACCCGCAGGAGATGACGCAGTCCGACGCGTCCACCGCAATCCGGTCGCTCAGTCTCCCTATACCCCAATAGAAAGAGACCGTGTAGGCCACGCTCTCCACTGCGCGTGCAACGTCCAGTGACCGGCCCTAACAGAAAAGGGAAAATCGCGCCAAAGGAAACGAAGAAACAAACTTCCTTCTACTGCTGAAGAACTTCCCCTTTTGGGTTTTTCTGCAAATCATCGAAATCCGCGATTTCAATTATTTGATGCTTATCCGGATTTATCCTAATCCCCAAACGGCCGAATTCCATTTTTTATTATAAATAATTCAAATTCTGCACACAGCAATCCAATCCGATTCGCACTTCACTTTCTTATCCGGGTTCCCAAACAACCTCCTTGATTCGCTCTCAATCCGTTTCCATTTTTCAACTCTCTTTCTCTCTGCTTTCTTTCTCTGAGCCGCAGAAAGCAGAAGCAGCATGGGGTCTATGGAGCAGACGATTCTGGTGACCGGCGGCGCGGGGTTTATAGGGAGCCACACGGTGGTTCAGCTGCTTGAGGCGGGGTTTAGGGTTTCCGTCATTGATAATCTCGATAACTCCGTTGCTGAAGCTGTTGATCGCGTCAGGGACTTGGTCGGCCCCAAGCTCTCTCAGAAACTCCACTTTCAGCTGGTAATTCTAGCTTTGGATTACTGTGTTTGGTTGCCGAGAAAATTAGGGAAATGAAACGGAAAATAATTTTGAACTTTTTTGCTGTTCTGTTCTTGTTAGTGTGTTAGTGTCGGTTGGATGACGAGATCTCTTTTATGCTTACTAGACTAGCTGCTTTAGCTTTACATCGCTCCGTTTGGTTCACAAGAAAATTAGGGAAATCAGGACTGGAGAAGGAAAATTTTGGCTTGTTAACTCTCTTTTTCTGATTTAGTCAACTGTTTAGGTTCGGTTGGATTATGACCGATCACTTTAGATATTAAAATGACAGAGCTAGAGAAAAATCAGCTTTTCTATCAATTTTCAGTGAACTTTTGCCCTGTTTGGTTCCTGAGAAAGCCTGTCAAACTGATTTCTTGGTTTCTTTGGTGTTATTCTCACTAATCAAATTGGCAATATCTGTGTGCAGGGCGATCTCAGAAATAAGGACGATTTGGAGAAGCTGTTTTCTCAAACGAAGTCAGTAATTTTTTTATTAGCATCTAAGTATGTCATTATAATGTTTAGGTATTGACATTTCTGCTGGATAACGTGACAGGTTTGATGCTGTAATCCACTTTGCTGGCCTAAAAGCTGTAGGAGAAAGCGTTGCACACCCGCACCGTTATTATGATAACAATTTGGTTGGAACTATTAATCTTTACGCGGTCATGGCGAAATACAATTGTAAAAAGGTTTGCTTCTGTTTTCTCAGTTCTTCAGTGGAGCCTCAAATTAGGTTGCGATATTTTGTTTCCCGTATGTTAGGATCAGTGTATAACCAACCACAAGAAACCAATGGAACTTGGATTCGTGTTTTAAATGCGCGTTATGTCTGCATGTGAGTGCTAGATAGATAGGTAGACCCTCAGTATCTTACAGTTGAGCTAGATGATGAAATAACTATCAGTATCTTTAAATTACGCACTTAAGCATCGGTGAGCTGTCATTTAAATTGGCGACTGTTTTTTCGCAGTTTCTAGTGCCCTATAAAACTAAATAGAAGCAAGCACAAAATATATTACGAACAGAAGAGAACTGCAGTTTTGAATTATTGGCTTTGCCATTTAGAGTAAAGAAGCGCATGGTGTTTGCTAACCGAATGAATATGATGTTTTCTGAGTGTAGATGGTTTTTTCATCATCTGCAACTGTGTATGGACAACCTGAAAAAATTCCATGTGTTGAGGATTTCAACCTTGTAGCTTTGAATCCATATGGCCGTACCAAGGTATACACCATGTCTTTCTCCCGCAATTGCTGCATTCTCATTTCGAGTTAAAACTGGCATAAAGGGATGCAGCCTGTCTTCTCTAACATCAAATTTACTCTTACTAGCTTTTCCTTGAAGAAATTGCTCGAGATATGTATAATGCAGACCCAGATTGGCAAATTATTCTGCTGAGGTACTTCAATCCAGTCGGGGCTCATGAGAGTGGGAAAATTGGTGAAGATCCCAAAGGCATCCCAAACAACCTCATGCCGTACATACAGCAAGTAGCTGTTGGAAGATTGCCTGAGCTTAATGTCTTTGGTCATGATTATCCCACCAAGGATGGTACTGCGGTATGTAAAATCCATTAAGATTTTCCTTTCTTTAAGACAATTGGGCAGGAGTGGTAAGAATTCACTCAGTTGTTTATTGACCTCCATCTACTACGAGTCCTCTGTTTAATCGAGTTAGCTTGGTCTGCATATGTTCCACTCATAGCATCGTCTTTAATCATGCCGCTGATACACAAATTTCTTGTTCACCATATGTAATCAGGTAAATCCTAATTACCAGTTTCATTTTACTTTTCATTTTTTAACAGATCCGAGACTACATCCATGTTATGGACTTAGCAGATGGTCATATTGCTGCCCTTCAGAAGCTTTTTACAACAGAGAATATAGGTGATTGATCTAATTTCAACATTTATTTATACGAAATATATTTGCTGTCCCCTGCTGGTAGTTTTTCATCAGCATCCCAAGTTTCTAAATCAATCTATCGTGTAAGTTTATTTGGAATTGGGGTGTTTTAAAGATAATTTCATGTCTTAGGTTGTGCTGCCTACAATCTCGGAACTGGACAAGGTACATCGGTGCTTGAAATGGTTGCTGGTTTCGAGAAAGCTTCTGGCAAGGTGATTGTTCGTCTCCTTCAAAATCTATCCCTTCTCACTCTCGCGCACACATTAAATATGCGATACTGAAGTACTTCTCGATTGTGTGTACCAGAAAATTCCTATCAAACTATGTCCGAGGAGGCCAGGAGATGCTACTGCTGTTTATGCTTCAACAGAGAAAGCTGAAAGGGAACTCGGGTGGAAGTATGTACATTTCAATCTATTCGTTTTTCACATGTATTCTTCACGATTTTTTGTTGCCTGTACGATGCATCCCATTTGTATACATGTAACTCATATTGAACTAGGTTGACTATCTATCATCGTGGAACTGCATAATTCTCTCCGCTAATCTGATGTCGGTTTCAGGGCAAAATACGGAATAGAGGAGATGTGCAGGGACCAATGGAAGTGGGCGGTAAACAATCCTCACGGCTACAAGTCGAAGTATTGAAGGCGTTGGCATGTATATACGCGCGGCAGCACACCGAAGTTCAGTCCGAAATTGGACGGAAGAAGATCCCGCGTTTGATATGAATAATTTCCACACAGTGCCTAAAAGAAGCGTAGTTGGGAAACATCAACATATGTTGCTAAATCATTATGTTCTTCCTTGTTTTTCTTTTTATTAGAGAGAAAAAAAAAAGGTAGTGGGAATAAATTCCTCTGGCAAAATATAGATATTATAAGCATCGAAAAAGAAAAAGTTTAAATGGTAGGATTGTGATGGGTCAAAATGTCCTAGGAGAATTGGAGAAACGTACGGGTTTGGTAAAGTTTGAACAATTATTGAACGTTAGACTGAAGACCTTTATGTTTTTGTCATAGATTGAAGACAGTATTTTGTGTTGCAGGATTACCATACGTCAAAAATTCTATTATTTTAATTAAAAAAATGTATTTATGATTCTTTTCGAGTCATCATTCCAGAAAATCACTAGCGTCGACAAATGGAGGTTAGTATTGTGGAGCGACGTTGACATACGATACGATTGAAGAACATATTCATTGTAAAAGTAAAGTTCTAATTTAGTTTCTGAACTATCATCAAATGAAAATTCGGCCCTTAAATTATTTTTCAGTAAATAAGTTCTTAAATTTATTAAAAATTACTAATTTCATTCCTACTGTTATATTCAAAGTTATTTTATCTAATTTTTTGTCAACTCACTTAACACCCTTTAGAGAGTAATACTGTTATTTTCTTGTTTAAAAGCTCTTAACATTTCATATAAGTTGCGAATTTAACTTTTAATTTACCCTCTAAAGTTAACTTCATACATTATTTCTTTATAATAAAATTACTCATCTACCCTCCAATGTGTATATGTATCACATGCAAATAACGTAACTTAAATTGACGAAAAATTGAATAAAATAGTTTTGAATCTAATATTATGAATGTAATTGGTAGATTTTTATAATTCAATAACTAATTTTCTAAAACAAAAAAGAAAGTTTAAGGACTTAATTTTCACTCAAGTGATCATTTAGGGACTAAATTGGCAGTTCACCCTAAAAGTAGATGTGTTTTGCTCACGCAATAGTGACTTATGAGTTTTTGGTCTCAGTGGCAATAGTTGAATGCCTTTTTCTTTTTTTATTTTGAACAAACGATATTATCTACATAAAGGAGTGTGGGAGTGGGCTAGCTTCACAATGGACAAGTCATAATAATGTAGTTTAAATTCGCCTTTGGCGAGAATCAAACCTAAAACTTTTCACTTATAAATGAAGAGAAATATGACTAAACAATAGTACTAAATAGTTGGAATGCCGTTTTAATATGAAGAAAATATAAAACAAAAAGTTGCAGAATAATTCCATGTTTAATCAGAGGGACCTCTGGCCTCTTAATCAGTGGCTAATATAATTTAAGTGGAGATTGAAAGTGAATTAGATGTTGTAGGGACCCAGAAAACATCATAAAAAGAAATTAAAAATAAAATTTAAGAAACAAGGATGAATTTAGAGGTGGCTACGTGTTACACTGTCTGTCTATTCTTCACAAACAAGTATGATTAATTAGGATTATGATGTATTAGGATTAAGGATCCGATCTCTTGCGTCCTCTGCTATTCCAAGCAATACTTAGATAGGATTGGGTTTTATTTTAGGGATAGGATTGAACTGACAGGGATAGGTTACATAATTTATGTGTGTGGTTGGACCACATAATCCATCATAGTTTTTTTATTTTAAATTTGTAGCCAATCCATTCCGTGTTAAATTTTTCTCACCAAACATAGACTGAGCTATAAGTCCAATTTAATTGGAATTCAATCATCTTATCCTGCCCACCAAACGGGGTCTTAGAGTATAGGCCTCATACTTTATATATTTCCAATCTTTGTTTATGATATTTGATCTGTTAGGAAGAATTGTCATCGTGCAATCATGTAATACAATTAGTCCACCTGTTATATCACAGGTGGATGACAATTTTATGATTTAGAATATAGTACTAATAACAAATTCATGTGTGTATGATTATGAATAGATTAATTATACTACGTGAACATATTTCACTAAACAAACAATAATTTTTATCTTCTTATTTATAGACATTTTTAATTTATTTGGGCATCTATATTTGGTAGTTAGTCTCTAATAATTATTGTGTTTTCAAATGCTCACCTAATAAAACACATAAAAAACGATTTTAGGTGTTTTTTGTTTTTTTTTTTTTTGGGATATTGGACTGTAAGTTTTATTACCAACAACACATAATTACAAGAGATAGGCTCACATACAACACAAACACAACAACAAAAGTAGACAACAAAACCAAGCCCAACATAAAACAGAAAAAAAAAAAAAAAAAAAAAAAAACCAAACAGCTTGCATCTTCTGCCGCAGCTTCCTCCGCCTCTACCGCATCATCCTCCGTTGTTACTACCATATGAAGGACCTCCAGACTCGAACCAGTTGCCAGAAAGCAAGCCAAATCGAGCCCTTAAAGTGGCTAAAAGGAAGGCTTCAACAATTGCCAAAGTGCTGAAAAACCAGCATGGACAAAAGGAAAGAAAAGGAAAACAAGAGGAGCAAGGGGCTACCACCAACCCTAGTCATAGCTAGGATGAGTGGCAGTGAGGAGGAGAACAAAAGCTGGAGATGCACTCACATGCAGGCGGTGAGAAGAACTTTCACGAAGGAAAGAAGAACTCTCACGAAGGAGAGAACGTGGTGCTTTGGTCTTACTTGATACCATGTCAAATCATCGAGTCCAATGACAACTTCTACATCTCTCTATTTTGAATTGGCTCTTTATTTTTATATTTTATATATATAACTACATACATATATTAAGTGCATCCTTTCCACCTATAGTATTTGTCCACAAAGTCATTGTTCACTACCTTATAATAGGATCCTTTTTGAATTCTCTTTGTAGGGATTCAGATGATCGAATCGTGTCCGTTCATCGTACATTGTGCAGTTAGAAATTATTTTAAATTTAAAACTTAAAATTGAATATAAATAGTATCTAACGAAAACTAACCACACGATATATGATGAATAGATACAATTGATTGATCCCTGTATCCTTACAAAGAGAATCTGGAGATGATCCTTGTCCTTGCAACAAAGCTTTGGAGAGGCACTGTGTAAAAAAAAGAAAAAGAAAAAAAAAGTCAAACAATATATATAATTTCATCATAAACTACAAAATAGAATGATGAAATATTGGAACATAATGAAAACATGGGGAACAAACATATTATGTGTGTTCATTTAAGTATACAACAAGTTTCTAATAATTTATTGTAAAAAATAAAATGAAAAATGAAAGTTATCCATTTTCTGTCTAAATGAGTCGCAACCTAGGCGGGTGCCTAAGCGGTCTAGGAGTCCTTTCTTAATTTTCAAACGTCTAAGCATTAATTGGGATAGTAGCCAACCGTCTAGCCTAGACGGGACCTAGGAGACGTTAGGCGGGAATTTTTAGAATAGTGATAAAAAGCACCACAATTCCATAATTACAAACTCAGCAAAAAAAAAAAAAATTGATATAAACCTATCTTTTGAAATCTATATTTTCTGTTTCAACCTTTTCAAATCTCTCTCAGTCTTTCTCATATTTTTTATATTTGTCTTTTCAACTCCTCTCTCTCAGCATATTATTATTTAAAATATATTATCTTCATAGTTTAATTTTAAGTGACAATTAAATGCAAATAAGATAATATCAATATACTTGATTTTTTACGAGATTCTTTTTTTCTCTCTTTCACTTAATGAAAGAGAAACATTTTAAAAGCGACAAGCACGTTGTGGTAAGCAAACAATAGCACACGGTAAAGATTATAACATGTGAACTAAGAGAGCCCATACGGAAAAGGAGGTAGATTGTCTTTCATTTCTTTCTATTTTATGCGGTTACAGTTCAGCCACGCAAATATTTTATATTAATTTTTTAATAGAGATAATAAGACAAAAAGTAATAAGAATATAAAATATTAACGTGACTTAACCGTGATAGTACAAATAGAAGGGTATAGGAAGAAAATCCAAACAGAAGAACAGACAATAATGCTTTTGAACTACACGTGGAAAGTAATTCTACGCTCAGATGCGCATTAAATGAGGCAAATGGGATCTTAATAAATTTGTACTTCAGAAGAGGCGTCTCTATTAAAATTACATAACAAATAGTTGATGTAATTCACGGGCCATAAAAAAGCATCAGATAAACAAATTAGTCCAGAAATATTTGATAGGTAATTCGAATTTAAGACATCTTGTGAAAAAATAAAAAACAAATTATTATTTGGGCCTTGGATAATTTTGAAAATAAAATAAAGAATGCTTATTCCTCTTCATTCTTGGCCAATAACCATGTTTTTTGGACTCAAAAGAAGGATTTGGATCCTCACCAGATCCCCTTCATGAGGATCCTAGAGATCAACGAACACGAACCGTTGATCAAAAATAGTGAGTCACAATTTTTTTTTTATATTTTTTATGCAAAACGATAATACTTTTTGCGATTTTTTATCAATAATCCGTGTTCAAGAGGATCCAAATCCCTCAAAGAATTCTTATCTAGAGCAGACGATTAGGGTTACCGACACGTATGAGACATCTCTGTATTTGGAAAAAAAATAAATAAATAATAAAAAAAATAATAATAATAATAAGAAAAGAAAAAGAAAAAGAAAAACGAAGGAATGGGAGAAGCTTCTGGAAAAGACGTTAGAAGAAGAACCTACCACTCACACCCTCTCACAGCCTCCCTACTTCTTCTCGCTCCTTCCTTCCTATCCGCTCCTAATCACTTTCCCTCCCTTTCTCTCTCTTCTCCGTGGGCCCCACAGTTCTTTTTCCCATAAAACAATAAAAAAAGTTATTGTTTATTATTTTCTTTCCCTTTCCTTCTCGAACCCACGAATACACCCTTTTCCCTTCTTCCTCCTACCATTTACTCCTCCTGCGGAACCTTCTAGAAACAACAAAAGCGAAATCCTCTCCCTCTCGCCCTCTCCTCCCTCTCCCTCTCCCTCTCCTCTGAGCTGCTGCTTCCCGTACTGCCTGCTGCAACAAGATCGATCGAGTTGGCTTTCGTGTCCAATCCAACTTTTCTGTTCGGTTGGTGGGAAAATCCCTACTCTCTGTTCATCCCCAAACCTTTAAATCCACGCTTTGAAGGTAATACACGCCGGCTCCTTGATTTAATTCCATTTTTTTTTTATTGAATTTTCCATTTCCGATACCTAGAAATCTAATTACACAAAAAATAATAGGAAGTAAAATTTCGTATCTCCAGAAATTTTTGTTTTCTAATCCTCCGCGGTTTCTCGGTAACCAAACGGAGCGTTAAATAATTTTAATTAAATAAAATAACGTTTATTTGTTTATTTATTTATTTATTTGTTTGTTGAACGGATTTTTGATATATCAGTTGCTATTAGAGCTCAGATCTGAGAAGCCAAAGGCGAAAAAACTATGTCGTCGTTGCCGGCCGAGCAGAACGGCGACTCGGCGCCTGCTGGAAGCGGTGGCGGCGGAGGAGATTCGCAGAGATCGCTTCCGACGCCGTTTTTGACCAAAACGTATCAGCTGGTTGACGATCCATCCGTCGATGATTTAATATCGTGGAGCGAGGATGGATCGGCGTTCATCGTCTGGCGACCTGCCGAATTCGCCAGAGATTTGCTTCCCAAGTACTTCAAACACAACAATTTCTCCAGTTTCGTTCGCCAGCTCAACACTTACGTAAGCCTCCCTCACTTTCCCTCTTTTTCTCCCAGCCAAACAGGGATTCTTTTCTCGGCAACCGAACAGGATTGAGTCACTTCAGATTTATGGTTTCCTAATCTATTTTGCGATTGGATTTTGTAGGGATTCCGGAAAGTCGTGCCGGATCGATGGGAGTTCGCAAACGATTTCTTCAAGAAAGGCGAGAAAGGACTTCTCCGGGAGATTCAGCGCCGGAAAATCTCTCCATCGGTGTCGGCGGCAGCTACGGTTGTTCCGCCAGCGATGGCGGCGATATCCGCGTTGGCTCCCCGGGTGTCTCCGTCTAACTCCGGCGACGAGCAAGTGATCTCGTCGAATTCGTCTCCGGTGGCCGCTCCGGCAATGTTGGCGAGCCGAATCAGGAGCTCCACCTCCACGTCGGACGTTCTAGAAGAAAACGAGCGGCTGAGGAAAGAGAACATGCATCTGAGTCACGAGTTGACTCAGCTCCGCGGGTTATGTAATAACATATTGGCGTTGATGACGAACTACGCGTCTGGTCAGTTAGAGAGCGGTGGCGGAGGAGGAGGAGGAGGAGGAGGAGTGGATGACGGTAGGACTTTAGAGCTGTCGCCGGTGAAAGAGGCTGAGCCTGCTGCAGAAGACGCCGGTTGCGACGGAGCGAATGCGGAGGCTTCCGGGGCGGAAGAGGAGGAGGAGGAGGAAGAAGAGGAGGAGATGAGGCCAAGGTTGTTCGGGGTTTCGATCGGGGTGAAGCGCGTGAGGAGAGACGAAGACGAAGAGGAAGAGCATCGGGAAGGCTCCGACGGGGCGAAGCAAGAGCCGTCGGATGGGAGCTTGAAGCGCGATTATGACGCCACGTGGCTGGAGCTCGGAAAGTGATTGAAAATGATCAGATGACGTAGGCGATTGTTGTTTATGGAAGCCGATAATGGAAGCGTGGACAGCAACGCACGGGGAGGAATGTGCGCACGTGCGAGATAATAACTGGGATGGCGCCACGTGGATGGAAAAGATAAGAACCGAAACCCGGGACGGTGTCGTATGGGCGGGAATGAGATCGCGTGATGACATATGAAGCGCGCCAGAGGACGGAAAGAAGACGGTCCCAAATGCTGGGGTTTTTATAGGTGGTGCTCCGTACATTAATTTTTTACTTTTTGTACTCTTTTTACAATTTACTACCGTTTTATGAAATGAATTGAAAAAGATGGAGGAAAATTTATGAAGCGTTTGAGGAAAATGAAGAAAAAAAGAAGTTGAAGATTTGCGTCATTTGAATTGCTTTGCTTGCAATTTGTAGTCAAAGACATTTACCAGACAAACATGCTCTCATTTGAATTGCTTTGCTTGCAATTTGTAGTCAAAGACATTTACCAAACGAAAATGCTTAGAGCATGTGGATAAGGGGGAGGAAGGAATTGACTCCTTAAACGTATAAGAAATCTGAGCTTTTGTACGTTCATTTGAAATGCCTCCTGTAATTCAATTTTAATATTGTTTATTTTTTTCTTGAAATGAAAATGTCGTCATTTGCATTGTGGAAATTTAAAAAAATAGTTTTAACGAAACATTTTCGGTAATGTTCATTTTTAACAAAAAAGACGTTTTTATTTTAAAAAGTCATTTATGATACTATTCACTTACAACATTTATTTTGTCCTTTTAATTAAAACTTAAAGTTTTCAAGTTATTTTCATTAGTTTTTCTATTTATTAAAATTAACCAAAATTTGAAGCTTATATAAAATTATAATCGTCGTTTGAAGTTTATGATAATTATAACCAAAGCTAATATGAATACATTTTTAATCCATCAAATTTTATTGTTTGAAGTCCTTGGATGTCCCCTCCTTTTATTTATTTTCTTTCAATTACAAGTGTAGTGCGGTATTGTTTATTGTGTCCGCTGAGTACCCTGCCCATCTATTTCCTTTTAATCCTGGAATTGATGTGCCATTTGCTTTCTTGGTTACCTCTTTTTATTTTTAATAAGTTGCATGAGCAACTCTAGCAATGGGGATGAGGTCTTGAAGGCAAAAGCTTGCTGCCAAGGTTTTTAAAAACGCTAGGCACTAGTTAAGCGGTGAACTAGGGTCTAGCGCTTAGGCGGACTAGGTGGATTTAAGGTTCAAAAAGTTTACTAAATGGGCTCTAAAATGTATAGGCTCATTCTCGTTCCCTAGGCAATAAGGATAGAGTTAACAACAACTCATTGGTTGAGATCCAACTCCAATTATCAACATTTAAGGCATTCATTGATTTTGTCGATAACTAGCTTTTCGGAAAGGGGCGAGCTAGTGCAAAGAGCTATTGGCTGTTCACAGTAAAAAACAGGAGGAAGTTCATAACTTTTCACTCATTAGGGGTATATTACTACTTTCATATCAAATTTTGGTTATAATTATCATAAACTTAAAATAGTAACTATAATTTCTTATGGGGTTCATTTTTTTAGTTTTTCCAAATTTCTCCAAAATTATTTGTGGTCATTTGGGGAAAAAAATTGGGGTTCTTGGGAGTGAATTTCTGGTGGAAAAATCGAGGGATCGAGTTTTTAGTGTGTAGGAATTGGTCAGTGGGGCTTTACGAACTGGGCCAAAAGCAATCAAATCTTCAATGAAAGTTAGCCGTTTGGCGATAGAGATAATAAGATGTCGAGGAAGAACGGACAAGTTAGCCATCAAGTCGTCTGTGACTCAATCGAGCACGATTGTTCTAATAAAAACGAAATTCAAAGAATAAAAACACGAATAAATTATTAGAAATGGACTTTGATACGGCAAGGCCATATATATGGACTTCGAAAACTATGACCCTCCACGTTTTCATACTTCATGTAGAAAATGGTTATTTTTCTTCTTTATCTACCTAGCATTATCTTTTTATGAAATATATGTAATTAGGCTCGAATTCCGGAGTGGTTCGATGCCTCAACAGAGAATGATGAACAACCACAACCCAATGACCAAGTAATAATTATGTTTGGTGGACTGTTTGGGATAGGTTGTGACCAAATAAAATGAATTTGAGTCACGTTCCTTACTTGTTGTGTCAAAATGTGAGATGGACAAGACTAAACATGATGGGTTATGAATCCCCAAAAGAAAGGATTATCTAACATATTCTTATATATGGACTACAAGTTTATCTTACAAGTTCATGCCTATCCATTCTTATTCTTAAAATCAATCCTATCCAGCCGACCAAACGGTCGAGGCCTTTAGCTCGGAATTCGACCAATTCTCATCACTAAATGGCACCTCAAAAACTCTACACCAACTAGTTGTTGCGCCAAAAAAATCATTTACGTTGCTAATATTGCAGAACCACCAATAAGGCCCCTGCTGATTCCACTAGATAAAAGCACGTAAATATAGTGTGATCGTCGACAACTTGTGCGTAATTTGTCTGGCATCTTTGGATCCAAAACAAGAAGGGCTTCCAAAACCACAAGATACAACGACTGCGTAATTCGGTGTTCAAGAAGGGCTTGATGGTAAGTGATGAGTTGATTTTATACTATATGCTATTACCGATTTTTGGTATATTTTGATTATTATTTTGGTGAGATTTTGATGTTTTGCTAATATAGAACACGCGAACTTGTTTTGAGCAAAAAGTAATCAAACAGTAGAATTTTTGAGTGATTCCAATTGAAGTGGGTTCGTGAATCTATCAAGAAGGTTGTGTCAAAATTTCATAATTTTATCCCAAAACATCTGATTGTGGCAAATTAATTTATGCCTAGCGTTCAGTGATGACATATTGGACTGTAGAGCTTATTTGTGACTTTTGAGCTGGAAGATGATGGATTTTGGACTTGGGCTCGTCTTGGAGCTTAAATAGGAGGCCCTAATCTTTAATTCGAGTTGTTTTGGGCTTATTTTGGAGTTCTGAAGGTCTAAAAACGTGGCTATCTCTTTGATGGGCAAATTTCCTAGTCATAATAGGAATGTAATTTCTAATTATCTTTTTATTATTTTATTTCCTAGTTTTTAGAAAACCTTTTCTATGAGGGTTTTAATTTGGAGTAGTATAAATAAGGCTATTTAGCCATTAGGTTTTTTTTTTTTTTTTTTGGTTTTGGGGGGGTGGTGGGGGTGGGGGTGAGGCACGCATTATTTTGGAGAATTTCAGACCTTTTACCTACAAGATGTTTTCAATCATTTTCTAGTTAATATATTTTCTTTAGTTTTTATAGTTGTTCATAACTATTTTTTTTTTGATAGGGCGAAGCCACGAGCCTTAGCATGAATATGTGGTTTTATTAATTTTCTTATTAATTGAGGCATACTTGCTTTGAATTATTAATCACTGCGATTAAACTATCTAATTGTCTTAGTGATTTGTGACCATTAGGGTTTTTAGACAACTGATTTGATGCAATTTCTGTTGGAACATCACCCTGAAATTGAGGAGGGGCTTCTTGTGATTAGTAATTGTAAGTTCACTTAAGCCAAACATCATGCTCTTAAGGGTTGCATGGTTTTTCAAAGGGTTTTCACAAAGCTTAATGAGTTTTGCATGTTTATATTTGATCTGAACATCACAGACGGGTTGTATGTTAAATATATGTTTTCGCTTGAACATCACGAGGAAAATATGCATTAGGAAAACCTAACCTTCAAAGCATGTATGTAGAAATTCATAAGTAATTGGTAAAATTGCATATGATTGTTAATGGTGACGGCAAAACCCTAATGTCTAAATTGTTTTCCAAAGCCTTTGTCTTTTGCTTTCTTTACTTTGTCAATTATTTAATTATTTTTATTTAAAATCATTTTTATTATTTTAAATTCCAAAATCAACCTTTTCAATATTTTGTTCTAAATAATTAGCCAAGGATTAGTTTAAAATACAAATTATTCATTCAATCCTAGTGGAAAAACGACTTTGCTTGAGCTGCTATATTACGATAACCTTGTACTCTTGCAAGTATTTTTAAGTGTTTTTATCTCTACTTTTGTAGGCGGTAAAAATCCTATCAGTAAGTCACAGTTGAACATCATGGAGCTTATCAAGTATTTTCGCAATATTGGGCAACTCAACTAGTGTCTTCTTAAACGGATGCAACATCCACAAGAAGAATGACAAGACTTCCATTGCTCTTCTAGCAGATTAATCTTGTACATCTTATCATTTCCGATTGAAGGCGTAAAACCTTCTACTTGAACTATCACTTTTCTTCTAGTAATAAATTCTTTCATCGTGGTCAACTCCACGACTTACCACACCAAAACCAATAACACCTTCCGTGGAAACTATCCGTCGGTGATCGACCCTATGAGATCTTGGGGAAGATTCGATCAGTTATGCATGATGCATCAGAGATCTGCGTAAAGGTGTCGAAAACTTAACTAAAGGTACAAGGAACGGTGCAGCAGCAGCAGAGAGTGCAGATAGCAACACTACCAGTAGTCTAGTAGTAGCCATGTGACCCAGCAGCTTTGTATCTCTGTTGATATCCATGATTCACAAAACAGCACCAAAAGTGAAGAATTTATTCTCCCAAGTTTTGAAAATAACACAACGAAATTCTCTTGATCTGATCCGTCGGCCATGATCCAATACTCAATAACTCAGTGTGTGACTTGTTCTTCATCATGTATGTTTATGTTTTGTAATGTTGCATTAGAATAAATCAAACCCGGAGATCGTATACTGTTGAAAACATGAAATTACTGTTGAGAAAAAGGCAGTAAACCTACAACTATAATTAGCACTGACTTGGACTCCTAGGTTATTGGACCTATAATGTATCCTCTATGAGTTGGGGCAATATTTACATGTAATAAAAGCCCACCTTTTAGTCATCGTCCTAATGAGTTTGGGTCAAATCTATATTATGACATGTTTACTTACATGTGTTGGGGCCCAAAAATGTCACATCAATTTAACCAAGTCTCAAGGTCCAATTGTCATGCAAAGCCTATACTTAAGCCCAAATACAAGCCAAGGCACGGGAATGAGGAATTTATTTATAAACATGCCACGCCACGGTGATTAAGTTGGATATTCACGCCATGCTCATGCCTACTCATCATGCCATGCTTCCTCATGCTAATCATTGTCATGCTAAGCCTCTGTCTCATATATGGGGCTTGTCAAGTGGATTGTAGTGTGAATGGTTATGGAAGGTTATTGGGCCTACGTGGAATCGGGGTCGTGCAAAACTTTGGGCTGCTTGGGGACCTAAAGATGTAAGCCCATACCCTTTGTATTTCAGGCATGCAACATTGAGAGAGAATTAGCCTAGTTTACCTCTTTTCCTAGCAAGCCAACTCCCTTAGTTAGGATGAAACTAGATTCTTGCATTAAATGCATGTTAAGCTTAGCAAGTCAGGCATTTAATGCTGACTTTCCCTTCCTAGCCTGCACAGACAACCAATGTGCGAAAGCCATGAGGCGCGCTACCTAGAAGTAGTATGCGGATGACCATCCTGGGAAAGCCACGTCTCGAAAAGAAGCAAACAGCAGGTCTTAATAGTGCATCTATCTTACACCAAAAGGTGAATAATATAACGGCTAAGGAAAGGAAGGAAAAAGCAAGCCACAAACGGAGAATCCTTTGAAGCCTAAAGAGTTACCCTTCATCTACCAAAAGGAGAGAGAGAAGCCATTAAAAAAGAGGAACAAACAGAGTAACACAGGGAGAAAGAGATATCGTAGTGAGAGAGAACCACCTAGGAAGAATCCTAGAGAGTTCTATTTAGCTCAGAAGCACACTCCAAGCCTTATGACTCACCATTCACGAAACCTTAGTAATTCCCGTAGCTATCCATCAAACATCTCAACCATTAAAAGCCTTACTATCACCCTGGGAAAGATCAAATCATGCAGCTAAGAATGTCATGTGTCGATGCAAATTTCCGATGTCTCTAGCTTTGATAAAAATTCACCTGCAAAACAATCAACACCTTTGATCAAGGACCTAAGCCTCACACACCCACGAGGTGGGGTGGGGGGGGGGGTGTTAGGCCAATGGATCTCCAATGCCTAAGTTAGTTTCTCTAAGAAGAGTAAAGTGTTTAGGGCTAGCAGAGGCTTACCGAAATTTGGTAGAATATGGGGTATATATAGGGGAGTGACTGGCCATGGTGTTAGGGTTTTACCCTACACATGGCGGCATCCTGTTGGTCAAGGTTTATTGAGAAATATTCTCAAGATATTAAATAGGAAATAATATCTTGAGATAATGGAGTAATTATCTCTAATTGATTTAAATTGGGATTACTTACTTGAATGGAGTCAATCTTCAATTGGAAATGTATTAAAGATAAGATTTGGGTAATTAATCCTTATATTTAATACTTTGATTTTTCCTTGCCAAAGGCAGGTGAGCTGTGGGCCTTCAAGGGTGTGAGCTGGGCGTGAGAGTATATGAGGAGTCTACCTATTTATTGAGGGCAATCTTGTCTTTCTTAGGCAAAAGTCCATGTGTCACCTCCAGAATTTTTGGGATTATTTTAGGCTCCACAAATGCCCCCACACTTGTTGGGCTATACGTAGGAAATTCGCAGTAGGTGAAGAAATCCCAAGTTGCATGGGCTTGTAGAGTTGTTTCCCAATTTGAACTAGATCTCCTTTTTTGACTTAAAGATAGACTCTTCTAGGAAAAGGAAACCAATTGCCCCCAATACCTATTTAATTCTGCCTTAAGCAAGGTATTAAATAAATTTGGAGAACAATCTTCATTCCAACAAGGAAGAGAGAAACTAGAGGAAATTTTTTCCCCCTCCCCTAGCTCCCTTCTTTTCTTGCCTTGCAAAAAGGCATTTCTCGTTGTTGTTCTTATTCTCCGCACCGCACCAATGTAAGAAAAAAGTAATTTTCTTTGTATTCTTAGGTGATGCTATCGCAGGGCAACCGTTGAGGTGATGCAGCACATCAGCTGGTAGGGGCCAAGAGTTGGCTCAGCGTGGGTCAAGGAGGTGGCGTGGCAAGGGCCACGGCTTGGGCTGCTCAACTCAGTTGGAACCAAAGGCAGCTACGTAGCTGGGGCTGCAACTTAAGGCGCTGGGGCACAATGCAGAGTGAACCACCGGGCTCGAGCTCTTTCTAGGGGCCTGAATCTGACATAGGCCAATTAGGCATGTTGGATGGTGTAGAGCAGCCAAGGTCTTACCATAGGTTGCTCGATGCCTTGAGCAAAGGTGATTATGAGTTGGCGAGGTGAACGGCGCATTGAGCGCGAAGCTTGGCGAGCTGCGAGGCTCCAGCCCTTTTAGATTTTGACTTGGCATGGGCAAAGTATGTCGAGGTAGGCTCGAGTTTGCTATACCATGGAGGACGGAAAGGAAAGAGGCATGGGGTGCCATATTTCTTGATTATGACCTAGGCCACATGCCGGGCTTCATGAGCCATGAATTGCATGGCTGAGGCCATAACTTGGGCACAAGGCACTATGCTTGGCAGGTTGGACACAAGCTCGTTCTGCTAAAAAGAGAAAGATATGGGCCGAGGTATATACGGGTCAGGCATCATCTAGGGAGAAGAGTTTGTCGTTCATCTGACTTTTCCCAAGGTGACGAAAATGATTGTTGAGCCTAAGCCTGTGAAACATGTTACTCCGAAGGTAGCCATGACCATTGCTGAGAAGATTGCCCAACGAAAAATTTCGGTGGTGCCCATAGTGTTTGGGTTTGTGTTAAAGCGTGCCTCATGAGCTAAGTCTGGTTCGACTTCTGATAGGCTTGCCGTTACGAAGAGCGGGAAGGTGGATTATGTTGCTAATGTGGCATTTGGGCCTGTTTTTCATTCCATTGCAACTGATTCGTCTATTGAGAAATGGAAGTTTGCTCACACGGGCAGTTGTGAGAGATTCACCGAGTCTGAAGTTAGGGAGTTTCCTGAGATTAATGCGCTTCTGAAGGCTGACTTGCTTAAGGATGTCAATGCATGCGCCAAGTTTGTTGATGGTGTTGGGAAAGTTACCGGCTCAAACTCTCTTGCGAAGTGTCTTGCCTATAGAAGAAAGTTTTCCCTGATTGCTATAATGCATAAGACTTTGATCCTAGTAGCTGAGTCTATGAGCATCGATCAGGATGCTGTTAAGTGTGCTAAAGAGGCCGAAGTGGGGTTGACGGCTTAGCTTCGCTCTGCTGCTGAAAAGATCGAAAAGCTCGAATTTGAACTCACCATTTTGAAGAGGTCTGATGTCTCCGCCTCTATTTTTATGCAGCTGGATATCGTTCATTAGGAGGTCATTCATTTGAAGGCTAAGCTTAGTGCGACTCAAGCAATGTTAGAAGCTGCAAAGAATGAAGTTAATCGTGTTGCACCGGTGGTCAAGGACATTGAGCGTGTCAATTCGGAGCTACGATTTGCTTGTTTTGCCAAAGACGATGAGCTTGTCTTCATGCATGCTGAAGTGTCTCGTCTCAAGGATGTTGCCAGTAAGCTTGAGTCCAAGGAAGTGGATATACAAGGTACATTGTCTGTTAGCGATAACCTAAAAAATGAACTAGGTAAGCTGCATGATGCTCACACTAGGCTTGTTGAGGAGAATGTGCAGCTAGATAATGAAAAGGTAGGCCATGAAGTGGCATTTGCTTCTTATTAGGCTGATTTTATGTAGACCATCTTCAGGGTAGGCCGTCAGATTATGAGTTTTTCGAGAATGACTTCAAGACTTTTATCCATTTCTCAAGTTGATTTGCTTCACTTCTCGCTTGAGGCTACCTTTGGTGAAGCAGTTAAGGGTTAAGCAGTTTAAGCAGGAGTGGCTGAGGATGGGCTAATAGAAGCTTTGGCTGCTGAGAGCTTGGTAGTCAAGGGACTAGTGGTTGCACAAGCTGCCAATGAGTAATCTTTTTGCTTAGACTTAGGAATTTTCTTCTTTTCCTTTTCATTCTGCTTTATTTGAACTTTGTTGGCATTCAAACCGGTGTATCAATTTGCCGGAAATTTAATAAACAGATTTCCTTGCTTTGCTTCATCTTCTATTTTGCCATGTTTTTTTGCAGAACTTTACCGTAGGTCAGGTTGCTGGGTGAGCTGCCTCAATGAAGCAATCAATCCCACGTCATCACTTAGGTTTTAGTCTCGGCTTTGATGCTCAAGGAGCTTTACCTGTATGAGGAAAAAATGCAAGATTTCTAACTTATAGAGTTAGCGGTCAAACTCTTAGCCTGCGAAGAAAGCAGACAAGTTTGCGTAGCTGCTATAGTCATGAATCTCGTCTTTAGAAGCTGCACGAGCCTTGGCCCTCCCGGGGCTTGTTGCAAAATTTTTAACTTATAGGGCTAGCAGCCGGACACGTTCTTCTTGTAGAAAGCTGAGGAATCCACGTAGTCACTATAGTTGTACATTTTGGCTTTAGCTCTTGCAAAACTTAATCGTAGACCGTCAGCCGGAAGTGTTTCTTTTAAATAAGCAAGTGGGTCTGTGTCATCATAATAGGTGTAAGTCTCGGCTTACAGATTGCCTAGGGCTACCAACCATTAGGTCGTCAGCCGGGTGTCTTACTTACAAAAGCAAATAACATGCATGACCACTTTAGGCATTGGCCTTGGCTTTCAGAGGCGTTTTAGGCTTAAGGTG